CCAGCGGGAGCCGCAGGGGATAGGGCTGGCACCAACAGCGTGGCCTCGCCGCCTGCGCTGCAGGCAGAGCGCCAGGGCAGAGCAGGGCAGGGAGGGACTGCGAGGTGCTCAGGGACAGAAATTAAAAAATACAAGCCTGCTTTTTACAGCAAGCTACATGGCTGCCAGATGGCAGAAAAATGTTGCTGCTGCTGTCCCCCATCGCTCCTGAAAATGTTCTCAGTCCTGGCTCCTACCCTGTCTGGGTTCCTCTGGCTCCTTGAATGGAGAAGCCTGTGACAGAGAGGGGCAAGAGAACAGAAACTGAGTTTTTTCACCTTAAACCAGCTGAACTGCCCTTTTTCAGGCTGCAGTCCAAGCTATCGCTCCGCGCCAGCCCCTGAACTTTAAACTAGAACTGATGATGCCCTGAGGAGCAGTCAGGAAGGTTAACAGAATGAAAATATATGCCTCTGGGCATAGTTTTTAGCCAGATGTTTGTATGTTGTGTAATGCACAGACAGCAAGGCCAGGGATAGTGCAGTGCAGGACACACGTAAGAAATTTGGTGCATCCCAAATGTATCATTTTATTACGTGCAGGCAGACACGTGACATAGCCAGCTTTGTGTCAGGGAGGAGTGGCTGAATGCCTTAAAAATTCATCAAAATACCTTCTGGGTAGGGAAGAGATGTATTTAGGGAAAATAGTTCAGCCAGTCAGTGGTACAGCAATTTAAAGGAGCGGGCACAGCACTGGAGGCTACTGGTTTCCCTCCCCTTGGGAATACCCTTCTCCAGAGAGTTTCAAAAACTGCCGACATCAGATAATGTCCAAAACTGCTGTTTATATGCTTATGTAGGAGAACACGTAAGGTATTAAATAGTTCTTCCCCATCTCTCTTAAAGACTGATATTTTAAGTACTTTGTGGCTTTTTCTTAGTGCAGCTATGTTCTCAGTACACTTATAAAATCCCTCCTAACAAATAACACATTGTAAGTCATTCAGTTTTTTGTTGCCTAACGTCTCCTGAACTAAAAAAGTCAGTTTAAAGCTGGAGCTTTTTGTTTCTCAGTTACACTTCAGACTTCTGTTAATTGGTGTAGTCATGTAGTCATTTACTGTTATCTATGAAGATTGAAAATGTTGCATTGGCCAGCCCTGCCGCCTCCTTCCAGGTGTCCTGGAGAGTACAAGTACCGAGGTACCTGGGGAATTCTTTGGCAAAGGTGAGGTACTTTTTTAAAATACACAACGTTTTCTTTTTTTTTTTTTTTTAAATAGGATAGAAAAATTTTCTAAGCTGTTCAGTTTTACCAATATATTTAACCACAGTGCCACAACGAGGCTTTGTCAGCTATCCTGAGACTGGCATTTCAAGGCGAGTGGGTGCACAAGAGGGACCCTGGGGATGGTCACAGTGCAAACAAGCCCTTGAGGCTCTGTAACTGGGTGTTGTGTAGTGCCAGTGTGGTCCAAACGGCCGGCCATCCATCCATCCATCCATCCATCCATCCATCCATCCTCGCTAGTCAAGAACTGGATGTTTCTACGTGCAAAATCAGTATCATCTCCTGCACAACTGATGCCCGATCTCTTCACTGGCCAGATGCAGCTAAAAGAAAACAGAGACACTTTACCAGTGAAACAGTGTTTAATATAGTTAAATTACTTAAATAGATTTCAATTTCCATGGGAAATCATAACTGTATCCATTTTTGCAAGATCCAGAGTAAAGAGTGTGTGAATACCCCTTGAAATGATCATGACACACTGTCAACAATCACAGCTAGAGATACCGGGGACTTGAAATTTCATTGACAACACAACTTCGTAAGATGAATCGAAAGTTAAGACGACTGCAGACTTTCGTAAAGCAGAAAGCAAACCTGAAAACCGAGTGGATGGCACAAAGGTAATGAAACTCAGTGAGGGGGAAAAGGGATGGAAAGGGGGCAGGGAGGGGAGAAAGGCGTGACAGCGTGATGCAACTTAAGTAATTTGCAAACCAGGAACGATGTAAAGGAGCAAAAGTATAGTACAAGGGCAGACTTGGCAGTTTCACAGAAGTCAATATACTATACTTTTCGGAGATGTTTCCTAGTGGAAGCGGGAAGGAAAGGGGCGATGCCATTTAAGCTCACGTTTAAATGGCTTAATGCTCAGGTTATGCTTAGCAATATGGCAAATTAATTAAGACAGGCCCATGGATTATCACTTATTCTCGTTGTCAAGTAGGAAAAAATAAATCACCACCACCATAGTGCAATCATTAGGCTGTTAGTACTACAATAATTCTGCCCTGAGAAGAGTGGAAAAGAACTTTATTAAATGTCAAAAGATTGGAGTCATTTTTAGTGCTAGCCAAATTCAATATCAAAACTCTCCCCTCATAGAATATAAAAAATATAGCTTTTTTTAAATTATTTTCTTTTTTTTTTTTAATAAAATATCAAGGGATTTTTCTTTAATAGTTAAAAAAGGTACATAAATGATAACAGTGAACTATTCATAAACCCCCCCACTAGTGATAAAGATGCCCAACACAATATCAATGGCACTGTATTTTAAGGTCAACCACCTCATATACACATTTGCCATCATAACCTTTTTTGAAGATCACCTAATTCCTGAAAATTGAAAATCTGTGACTCAGTTTAAATGAGTGCCAGCTACAGGAAAGTCAACTCAATGCTGCAGTACATAGTTCCTTGTAATGTCAAATGGCAGTTACAACATCAGACAACTCTCATATCAGCAGGATTCTATTAAGACCATCTATGAAAAATGATTTTTTTAAAAGTAAAGTTCAAATGAGCTTATTTTTTTTTCCTCTTCTTATGAGAGCTCCTGTTACAGTTAGTTAGAAGATTTGCTTAGAGCTCTTTTTAACAAGTTGGACTGATACCGTCTCAGTAGCTAAAACTCAAAGGTCCTGTTTCCTTTTAAGATGCCACCCTCGGCTTGAATGCTGCATGGAACAACTCTGTGACTACAGTGTTTTGTGTTTTCCTCTTCTTTGGGGTTGTAGATTTTTTCTGGATTTTCATTTTAAAATGCATCTGATTCAGCCTGGAAACTCGCCTGTTTGTTGTTGGTTGAGTGTATAATGATAATCTGAAAACTGCCAAGTCTGTGTTCAGAGTTTTACGCACAAAAAAATTACACAAAGTCTACAGGTTATATACACTCCCACCACACCTTGGTGTGGACAGCCTGCCTTCTAATTTATGTATAATTTACAAAATATAGAATTTGGTATATCTGTTAGATCTCCATGTTTTCAATATTACAAAATAAAAAATACAAAAAAAACCACAACAAATTTCAGGGGAGTTCCCCCCACAAAGTGTCTCTTGTTTACATCTTTCCCATGTAAACTGATCTATACCAAAGAAGAGCACAGAAGACGTTTTAATAAATATGGTTGTAGAGCCGTCCTGCTTTATCTCCATCTTCCCCTCCATCGGATGTGCCAGCCCCGCTCAGATGAGCAGTTATTTAGCCACGTAGAAGAGGGGAAAAAGAGGGGGCTAGGCCTAGAATGTCTTTCCACACTACTGATGCCCTTCTAAAGGCCTTTTGTGTGCTGCAACAGTGGGTGTCAATTTTGAAAGCCCATTCAAAACAGCTAATAAAAGCACAGTGGTACACCTCAAATAGCTGGCAGTATGGGATGGAAACATTATGGCAGTGCAAATCCATTCCAAAATAATGCTTTGTAGTGAATCATACATTCCTTCAACCAAGTAAATGTTGCGTTGCCTCAATAAATACTTAAATAGCTTCTCATATCATCCCGTGGTAGCAGCCTTTTTTAAAAATTCCAAATTCAGGTCTTATCTGTGAGCTCTGTAGTACACATCTTTGGTCGATTTAGCACTCAGCCAGGAACAACTCCAAGGTGGTTTCCTTCAATTGCCTTTCATGATGGGTGGCCAAAGAGTTTGCTGACACCAGCTCAGAGTCCCAGTGTGAAATCTCAGCTTCACTGCCAAAAAGCGAGTCTTCTCTGATTCACAATCTTGGGTAATGCAGGTTCCGTCATCACGTGACGCTGCAATCGGTGCTAACTGATGGGAGGCCCTTCGTTTAGAAAGTAGGTGGTCATTTCTCCTTTGCCTTTGACTTTAATTACCCCTCGATATTCCAGCTGATAGTTGTTGGCTGCTAAAACCTGGTACATGTCTGTAGTTACCTGCAGAATAAACAAGAGTAAGCAGATGCTTGTTGTGCCTTCCACACAGTCATTTCATTTGCTTTGGGAGTAATCCATGGACAAAATTAAAGTAGGATCACCTATTTCGTTTCTAAGTCAACTTTTGCATATCAGTTACTAAAAGGTTGGCACAAGTTGCAGAACAAAAACCACCTTTAGAAATGGAGAAACTACAGAATTCACGTGGGGCACACAATTTGAAGAGAACCGCATTTTTCGAGGAGGTCAAAGGATAAAAAGAAACAAGTCTGGTTTTTACAAACACCTGGCAGTTCAGGGTACTTGGATGCATTCATTGTATCACTGGAGTGGTAGTAGGAAAACAGGTTAAAAATATTTTAAAAGCTCTCAAAAAATGGCTTAAAAATTATACAGTGGATGTGTAATTTAGAAGGTGTCATTCAGGGATTTGTTTTTATAGAAGAGAAGGTAAGGGGCAATGAGAAAGACCAAACAAATGGAATAATCCAGCCAGCGTCCAAATTCCTTGGGCAGATGCCATTAAAAAATAATCACTTGTACTGCAGAGCAGAAGTGTAAATACCAGATTTCCTGGGATATTTATTGCAGTGTATTTTCTCACCCTTTTTCAGGTGGCTTTAAATATTGCCACTTCGGACTTCCTGTTGCTGTAACATTGCTCTGCTGATCCGCTTAACTAGAATAAAAATTGTTGAGGGATTGTCTTGTAGGAAAGTCGAAAGGGTGTTGGATAAATATTGATCCAGTTAACTGACAGCTTAATTGGAAAGAAACAGCATGGCTTCCCCTCTTGGGTTTTACATCAGTTACTCAACTATTTTTACATCCCTTCAGCACTTTCCCCAAGGAATGACAATTCGTTGCTGTGGACATTGACTCAGCGAAAGCAAGACAGTGGAATTGAATCACTGGAAAGGTCACTGTCTGAAGGCCAAGGAGATGTTGGGTTGCAAGACAGTTTCCATTAACCCCTTAAACTGTCGTCTTGCTCTAGTTGTATATTCCCATCCTGCTGACGCCTGGATCCCTGCTGGCCTCACGACACACACAGTGTTGTGAACAGAGGTGTGATTTACAGAAACACGTATCTGAATCAAGCCCCTGGGAAACCAAACGACCTGCAGTTGCACGTAGCCGGACAGCAACGCCGGCAGCACGAGTGACTCATCATCGCAGCAGGACTGTGCTCACAGTGCCAGCAGTGCCAGCTCAACACTTCCACCCACAACTGAACCGCGAGTTTTTGACCAGAGGTGGCAAAGTTGGTCAGGATTAACAAGCAAAACGTGATGGTACCGGTAGCGTTTCCCAGTTGGCTTTCCTTTCAGTACCGTGTGAAGAAATATATAGCATAAAGGAATAAAATGAAACCAAACTTCCAGTTCTAATTACGTTGCAAAACGTGAAAGTGGCACAGGGCTGGCAATGCAGTTTTCCAGTGAATTCCTTACCTGAATCCGGTCAGGCACACCTGTACTGTCCATTCGGCTGGCTACATTCACCGTGTTGCCCCATATGTCATACTGGGGTTTGCGTGCTCCTATCACCCCAGCTACGACAGGGCCAATATTGAGGCCTGGAAGGAGAGAAGAAATCCCACAGCGCTCAGATCCATCACATGTGAACCACATGAAGCTCGAGGCAAGCTATTTTTCAGACAATAAAATACATCCTGAGGTTCATTGGTTCTAGCCATGCTGACATATGTCTAGCCAAAGTGTGAGGAAAGAAACTTTTAAAGAAAAGTTGGCTTCTTTGATCCATCATGCCTGTCTGACTGGTAGCACGGGCTCAATCTGCTCAATCCAGACCTACCTTCCAGTACCAGATAACAGGATAAGGTTTATTTGCCATCTGGCTGCCAAGCAAACTGTTCACTTGGAAGTCAGCACACAGCTGCAGTGATGCTGAGTGCCTGTGAGGCAGCAGCCTGGTGGCCTTCCAGAACAAACACCACACAACATCCTCACATTCCTTCTCCTTCTCCTTTTCTGAATCCTTATATTCCCTGACTTGAAAGACAATTTAATGTCCAAAAACGGCAGAGCCGGTGACCACAGGGGAGGGCAGGGAGCGCATCACAGGCAAAATGAGCCCAAGCTCAGCGACCATGTGAGCCCATCCTGTGGTAAGAGCTTCCCTGCGCCAAGGTCAGTTGCCCAACTGCTCCTGATTCTCCAGGGAGCTTCAGTAATAACGCTGCTACCCTAACAAAACTGCTTTGATGTTTCAGAGAGGCCAAAGTGGTCACCAGGCATAAGACAATTAACGCCACTGTACAGCTAAAGGAACGTCTATGGTTTTTACTCTCCATAAAATCCCAGCTGGGAATGACCACTACCTGTACTTAATCCTGTAAACACAGTGACATTACCTATCTTCATCTGGAAGTTGTTGAATGAATGTTCATTAATGTATTTCATTTGGTCCATTAACCTCATGGCAAAATCAGCCAAAGCTTTGATATGCGTCTTCCCTTCCTTGTCGTAAGTGGAATCGTTGAGGCCCGACGCAGCCATGTATGTACTGCCGATGGTCTTGATCTTCTCCAGCTGCCGAAATTGGTCTTCACTTATAATCTGTTTCACAAGAGAAGAGCAAAAGATGCAAATAAACCTTGAAAAACACATACATGCCGGTAATGTCCTTGCCACGCGTCCTCCCTTGGTGCAAGCACTGGACAGAGCCTCCACTACTCAAGTATAGGAAGAAAGGGGATTAGATATTCAGAGGAGCAACAAGGGAAAGGAAGAGATTTTAATGGGGGGAGGGGGGAGAATGAAAGACTTCTAGAGCAAGGAAAAATGAACCATGGCACAAGGACTCAATAAGCCACCTTCCTTCAGGAGCTCAGCAAAGCCCAACCAAAAACTCATTGATTCGGTTCACTCTGTGACTTACTTCATCAAAATCGGCAATGATCTCGTTGAGCAGTCTCAGACACTCCACCCCTTCGTTGTTGGCCTCCAGCTCCACGTAGAACTCTGAGAAGTTGCTTATGGAGGCAAACATGACAGCCACGCACTCACAGGACTGGTAGTACAGTTCATCATTTCGCCGCTCCTGAGCCAAGAAATGGACTGCCACGTCCTTCGGCAAAATGTTGTGGAGGAGGCGTCTGTTATAGGCCTGCAGCTCCTCCATTTCTTCTTTCTCTTCAGTGGCCTAGTTTAGGAGAGAGAGACAGTGATGTGTTTACTCTTTTGGTAACCGCTCTGGGGAGGGAAAAAAAAGCTGAAAATGAACTTGCAAGGAAGACAGAAACAGAAGAAAGGGGAAAACTGCAAAGGAGGGCAGAACCAGAGAGATGCAGGAACTTGTGTTTTGCAGTGGAAGATGGTCCATCTCTTTGTGTGCACACATGTATGTAAAAGCAGACATAGAATAAAACCAAAATCCAATGTTGCTATATTTCTGGGCCCAGAACTGGGTAACCTCTACATGTTCTGTTCCTTTTGGGGAACTCCACCACCATCCTACCATCCACAAAAACACACATTTGGCTTTCCCAGTCAAGCACAACAGGTTTCAGGAGAACAAACACAGCTCATCATTGCTAAAGTCTGACTGTGTGAGTGGCATTGAATTCCAATCCTCTCTCTCCTCCCCAAACGCTCATGTAGCTAAATAAAAGGGCCCTCCCTTTCCACAAGGTTTTCTAGGGTGCAATGACAGCCATGAAGTACAGGTACCATCGAGCCCATGAAACAGGCAGGTCTGACACTCTGGAGAGGACTTTTCAGCAGCCTGTAAAGCCCCTGTCTCCTGCGCTAGTGGGGGTACGGCGGGTGAAGGGGAACGTGAAGAGGATGCGTTGTCTTGTTTCTGCACTAATGGGTATGGATTTGGGTTTAATGTTCAGATGGAACCAGAGCTTCAGGAAGGATGCACCTAGGATGTACCTAGGCCACTGTGACTAAAATAAAAGAAGCATTCAGAGGAGTTCACTAGACTAATCAGACTCCAGAACCAGATTTGATTTCTCTTTGCAGACTTGCACGGTACCAGCATTACCTCAGTTCATTGCTTCTGGTTTGTTTGTGTACTGATCTCCTCTCTCTCCCGCATTACCTCATGACAGCAGTAGCTTCCCCTCTTGTTTTACTTTTTGCCACTTTGAATATTTCTGAGCAAAGGAAAAAACTGGGTCAGGCAAGGACTGGGGACAGCACAGCTGAGTCAGGGGTCGCACACAGTGGTTCGGCTAATGGGAGCCCCGAAGACCTGTCCTGTGTACGGCATCCTCTGCTTCAGCAAAGGCACCAGGCAAAACGTACAGCCTTTTGAAATGGGTTTTCTTCAAACCTTTTTTCCCCAGAGACTTTTGTCATAGCTGGAGAGCTCAAGCCAGAAAAGGGAAAGACTTTCCTAGCACACTTGGGTCTTGGCGTGGACAAACATAGCTCAGCCATAATCTCCAGCCCTCGCTTTGAGAGGGGAGAAGGGATAACCTCCCTGCATCCCTTAATTACATGTTGGCAAAGGCACAAGCAATACTTGCAAAGCGCTTATGACTTTTCTCGTGGATGCTGGTCTCTGAAACAGGACATTTGAAACTGGAAATGAAGTTAAATAAGGAAGGACTCTTGAGGAGGTGATATGTCTGGACAGAACAAGGAAAACTCTTGACTCTGCCTGGGGAAGCAAATGCTTTGGCCAGCTGAGCCTAGATCTGGAACAGGCAAGTCAGCTCATCCCTTCCATTGTTTTACCATTTATAAAGGAGGATAACAATGTTTATCTGCTTCCCAAGGAGCTTTAATTAAGTGGTGCTTCCTCAGCGCCTCCTAGTCAAACCGCTGAGACCTGTTATTAGAACGAAGCCCTGCCATCCAGAAGGCAAAAAACCTATATAAAACCTGCAGTCCTGCGGTCCTCCAGCTACGAGTCCTGGGCTGAGCTGGTATCTGTCCTGCTTACTTGAGAATCACATACGATGCCCCAGCATCACTCATGGGCACAAGTAGTAAAAAAAATTAACACGGAACCCAGGGACAGGAGCACAGTGGCATTACCTGTAACGTGCTGGTTATCCGGTACTGCTGCCTGGGGGCTAATGAAGGTTGGATATCAAGCCAGTTCCCACTGCTTAACAAGAAAGTGAATGACAATGCAAATGTGAATCCTTCACACCCCTCAACACAGCGAACTAAAGCTCACTGAACTCTGGGAAATAATTCAGCAGCAAATATGAGCTTCTTATATTTACAAATGGTGTTGTTACAGGTTCCTGCAACAGTGGCAGGCTCAGTTGCCCAAATTCATTAACCCAGAATTCATTCCGCTCTACAACCCTTTACTGTGGGGACCATCCAAAGTGCATTTACAGGGAAACAAGAGGTTAAAGTAAATAACCAGGATGAGAGGCATTGAGTATGCAAAGTAGCAAGGAAGAGCAGAAGGTTACTAGTATGCCCAGTTACAAAGCAGATCTAAATTAAATTCAAAAGCACTTTATAACACTCCTCAACTCGACAGTGAATAGCTCAGTAGTTTTGTACTAACGTCAGTGACTATGTACATTCCTCCAACACAGCAAACACCCACTAACCTGGAGTTTCCAGAGGAAATCAAGCCTTGCAGTGGATTCCACTTGCTGGGCATGCAAGTACAGTGCCAGGACAAAGACAGTAATGATGACAGGGGTCACAATCTTCAGCGCAACTCGTGTCATCGCTGGAGAGCTGCAGCCAATGGAAGAGCAGAATTTCCCAGTAAGACTCAGCGTGGAGGAACACAGCTTAGCCACATGCCCCAGTTCTCACTTTAAGGCTAACCAACCTCCAAGAAAAGGCTTTTTTCTTTCTTCTCAAAGCACGTGTTCGTAAGGGGACAAACAATATCTGCAAAAAGCTGAGGATTTTGGCTCATAGGTGCTGGCTTCTAAAGCAGAACTTTGAAACTGGAAATTTAATCCAACTTCTTAAAAAGGGTTAACATCAATATAAAAGCCATTTATTAGAGAATGGCCATACCTGTTCAGCCACCACTATGCTTGGCAAAACCAAAATGCTGACAGCTCTTCAGATTGCATTCACTGTGTTTCCTGCACTGGCTTCCCCAGCCTCCTAAGTCTGGAACTGTTCTACACTTACTGCTTCTCTAATTAGTCACTTCTTAATGGCCTTTGTTTTGTAAGTATTCTATAAACTGAAAAGAGCACTAAGACACATTCCCACCCCTCCTGACAAGCAAGCAAATAAAAACTGTTAAATCTGAATTACAGGGTTATACAGTATGAAAATATTCTTTTAATAAAACCTTTGACTTGTAATTACAAGTAAGCTCTATGAAGTGCTCTAAAGCAAGTTGACATAAGTCCCACAGGAAAGAAGATGCTCTGAGAATAGGCATACATACAAAAGGGCAATACTGCGGCCACTTAGGGCATTTGCAGTGTCTTGCACCAGCTCACAGCAATGCATAGTCAAGTACCAGACGTGCTGATACTGCACCCTGTGAACAGAAAATGCCTACTAAAACCCCATAAAAATACTTCATGCCAAAGTGACTCACCATGATAACGTTGCATTTGCAGACACACTGAAAAAAACCCATAAACACAAGGTTAGCAGAGTGTTTGCTACCCCCCAGCACTCCTCCTCCTGTACTTCAGTCAACAGCACCTCTGCAATGCGGCGCCGCCAACACTGCGTGGGGCTACAGCTCTTTAAAGCAGAAAACTACGAAAAGATCGAGTGGGGGAGAAAAAAGGTCGACAGCGCTACACTCAAAGATCCATAGTTAATGTGGTTAAAATATCTAAGAAGCATTAAGAGTCAGAGAATCATTAGGGATTTTAGTGTCAGTGTGGGATACTTAGCAAAGGCTTGTGCATCCATCACTACTTCATTAGGTCAGGCTGGAAAATTTGACCTAAAGAAGGAAGCTTTGAGGCTGCTATTTTGTGAGGGATAGCTCCTCTCCTCTCCACGAATTGTGGAGATGCATTTAATTCCTTTAACTCTAGCACTACTCCCTTCTTCTGCAAGTTGCTCCTCTCCAGTGCTGTGCCTAGCTATGGGCACCGCACACGAGTACGTACAGAAAGCCCTTGCGCGCGTTGCTGTTACTATCCACAACACGGCAAAGTACTCGTAGGAAGCAGAGCTGCTGGAGAAGATGGAGGGTGTGCTTTTCTTACAGTGAGCAGATGGAAAGGAGTTTTCTGGTAGGTAGTAGCTGGCTGAGTTCCTGACTGATCGATTGCTTAACACTGCTGAGTTTCTTCTCAAGTGTGGGTGGAGTATTAGGTGGCTGAGAACCAGGTACGTGTATCTTTTAAAACGCTATTGAAATGGAAAGGAGGAGATCAGTGCTAAAATTTGTGTAGTGGCATTGATGCAATCACAGCTTTGCAGGCTACTAACATGATACGTCTTTACCCTCAGAAACTCATAGCTGTCCTGAGAGCTTCAGGCCACAGTTTTCTGGGGCTGGGGAGGACCTCTCACTACAGAATCAGAGCTACAAATCATCAAAATCAAAATAGGTGAGGGAGCCTAACTGGGCATAAAATTAAAAAATAAAAGCATAATGACTCTCTAACCTTGTTTGTTCCGAGATATTTTCTGCACGTCTGAGCATGGCATTTTTTCTGACATGGATTTTGCAACCCACTGTTGTCTTGCACACGATCTATTGTGGGGCCTCTCGGTCAGCTCCAGCACTGAACACGTGTGCTTAGATGTGGACCCAGTTGGGGAGTCCCGGGGACAGGAGCTCCCATACTAAAGGTTGGATCTAGTTGGAGCTGGAGACACTTCCCACATGCAGTGTTATTCCCCTACTCCCCTAAATCACTACCTGGCCAAGGATGACTGACTGCCCCCCATTATCACACTGTCTTATGATGGGAGCATGGCAGATCTGACCCTCTGCACTGGGGCTGCAGCTCACTGTGGGTGTTACGTTTGCTCTAAAATCCTCAGCAGAGACTATGAAATGGAGCAAACCCAATATTTACAGTAACGCTTTGGAGGAGTGAAAATGCCCCATGCAAGCAATAATGCTGTTGCATTGGTAGGTTGCTCTCACATGGAACAGACATTTCCAGTAGCAGATGGCTCTTTACTGGAAGGTAACACAGAGAGAAGCGTGCCAAATACACTCTTACTCAAGTTAAGTGCACATTTTTAGCAGGAAACGTGGTTGATTCAGGGACAGCTCCCCTAGGACAGGAGCATCTCCCTTTTCACAGCCACGATGCCAAGGACAGACAGCCTTCAACCACAAACCAGAGCTCAAACAGAATTGATGGGCTTGATGAACAAATCACTGGGCAAAGCTCTTTGGGCTCCACTATGTAGGAACTCAACTTCGAAGATCACATTGGTCCATGACATCTTTAAAACCAATGCATTAGTTTTACCGTCTGCACAGGGAAAAGGTGACATGACAGCAGCAACATGCAACCAGTTATACTTCACATGTCACCACACTGGTGCGTCGCTGCAGTCAAGTCTAGCAGCTCCCAATGTACTATCATCAGCCTTTCAGTTGCTTGCATGCTGGGTTGGTTTGTACACAGAAGTGTGAAGTGACATCTGCATCACTTCTAATTAGTCAGAGTGCCATAAAGGCTGCAGAGCAGACAGTAATTATGTAGCTACCACAGGCACCCAATTAAAGTAGTATGAGGTCATGGTGGTTTTTTTTTAATACCAGCTGGACAATAAGGTACACCTCTGAACTATGTGCTACACGCTGAGCTCCCTTTTCCCACAACACACAAATGGACTGCCAGATGTCGGGACAATAAACAGCAGTCCATGGAGCTCTTCGGACAAAACAAATACCAGTTAGTGAGAGATAATACAGCATCACAGCAAGCTATTTCTGGGAAAACATGCTAACCTTCTCCACTTTATTACTGACACTTTGATTGTGATGTAAATCGTACTTCTAAGTGCTGTAATTTCTCTTACTGCTTGACTTACAAGAATGAAATGATATTTGGGATATAAAATGCTTTTATTTCTCTAATTGTGCTAGAAAATGCTCAATAGCTTCTGCTGTTGGAATACATAACATCTGCAAAAAGAGGAGGGAAACCTCATTCTCCCCATACCCCCACAGAGAGCTCCATGGAGTTTCCTACATAATTTCGTTTGCTTGAGTTAACAAAATAATTTAAGTGATTACTGCCAATGGCAGTAAAAGCCTTACCTCCATTAATCATTACTGGGCACACAGGAATGCTAAAATCATGGAATATTTATGTGAAGGACAGAAGTAACCAGATGCATCCGGCTTGAAAGGGTTAATGACTGTTAAGAAATTTGAGCAACTACACAAGCTAGTTTATAACATACAAGATAGTACTGGGAAGGACCATGGGAATCCTCTCAACCACTCTCCTGTCCAAGACAGGAGCAAACACAGCTATCATCCTTGACAAATATTTCACCTAAATTGGTGCTTTCTAGATCTCTGATTGTTCTTTGCTGCTCTGGACTCTCCATTATCGTGAACTTGCCTTCTTGCCCCAAACTGGAAAACATATTCCAGGTTTGGCCTTCCCACACCCAAATACAGCAATGGTCTACTTCTCATGTCTTACAGGCAACTCTCCTTATTACACATCCTAGCACCATGTTCACCTTTAGACAACGTCATGATTTTATTGAGTCACATTCAAGTGATTCAAGTACTATTGTTGCCTACAAGGGGAATTCATCAAAACAAGTAGTTAACACAGCAATGCAGCTCCCAGTGGGAAATCAAACTTGTGGAGCAGAGCAGGTTGGCAGATGTGCTAAATTTCCCTCCCCGGAGTGACCTTCAGAAGAGGGGTAACCATGTCAGGGGAAGGAGGTTACTATCATGATTGACATGTGACCTGGTGATGACAAACTACTTTTTGTATCCAAAAAGGCAACTGTCAACTCCCACTTAGCCTAGACCCCTGTGCTGGGAATTGCGCTGAGACTGGCTGCGATGCTGGATTTTCAAACGTGGACATGTGTCCAACGGCAACTGACACGAGATCACTAGTCAAATGTCAACCACCGTTCCACCACCCCAACCTGCGCTGAACAGACCAGATGTCTGAACATCTCAGTGGTTCATTATCACACCCCTGAGCCAGCTCAAGTTTGATGGAGTTGGTTTTTTTCTTTTTTGAGAAAAGACATTTCTATATTGGGAGCGTAATACCAGAAGAAGTGAGAATGACTAACTACAGCTCCCCATTTCTGGAAGAAAAAGAAACACAGATCCACTCCGATTCCAGTTATATTTTCTTATTAATAGATAGTTCATTAGTCAAGTTCCAGATTAAAAAGATCTTAAAGGGAACTGTGTTCTACTCTTCAGAGGTGGAGAGCAGCATTTACAGAGCCTTTAGTTTACAGTCACGCCTTCTCTGGTATCATGCACTTCCCTCGCTCGCACCACAGCCTCGGCGCTCCCGTCTATCTAATGTCACACTGAAATCATTGGGTGAAGGAAATTAGGTGAAGATTTCAGAAGTGAAAGGCACTTACTAGGTGTTAGCTGTAACCAGGAGATCTGCATTGTCAAAAAGGTTGACCCCTGGCACTTCCACAATGAGAACATATATAAATTCAATGATTAACATAAGGATCAGTTTTCCAATACAGCTGATCTGAAGGAACACAGAGCAGGCCAGGAGACTCAATAAGACACTGTAGGTAAAGTACTGTATAAAGACAAAAAGGGAAAAAAAACAACAGAAGAGAGATGAATGTCAGCTGGATAAATCAAAACTGAAAACAAAGGAAACTAAACAGAGGGATAGAGAGGGATTGGGAGTTACGTAGTTGAGCTGACCAAACATGTAAACCTGGGGCTGCCTGTGGGATCCTCCCACGTTACAGGGGATTTAAGTGTTAAAACTGAATCGATGGAGAAGAAAACTCTTGCATTCTTCATGATTTGCCTTACACTCAAGAGGCATAGCGGTACCCAAGGTTGTGATGTAGGTTTGCCCTGGACACGGATACCAAATTAGCAGAAAGCACCATCCAGTTATGCTGGAGTACTTCCTGCTTTAAGGTCAAATTCTGGTCTCAAATTCAGATATCTACACAATACATGAGACCAAGGGTATTAGCAATGCACACCAGCAGGACAGATACCCACTTGGGGCCGGTTGGAAAGTATTGCCCCTGCTGATGTGACACACTGAATCCACCAGCAAGATACGGGCTGGACAAACTTCTGCCAATGCCCAACACCACGATCATTTTTTCTGCCAGTGGTTGCAGAAGTGCTCGCATGTGAGGTAGTGTCGGCCTCCGCCACACCTGGGTGTTGAGGGAGCAACTTCTGCCAATCTGAGAGCTGAATGTTCAGCATTCCGGTGCTTTCAAATGCTATTGCAGACTGCAGGTGCCATTTATGGCTCCTGGGAAAGCTAGCATGGATGTAAAACGAAGAGAGGCAGGTTATCCACCTCATCACCTACTTGCTATCAAAACTGTGAAGATTTAACCTTCCATTCTGTCTGACCAAAAACCTCTATCAGATGCCTGAGGCAATCCATCTTTTCAGTTGAAAGCAAGCCTAGTTGAAGTAGAAATATGCTTATATTCTGAGCTCATTTATTAATAGTTCATCACTGATATATTAAATTAGAGAAAATAACTTATACAGCTTGTAACTCGACCCTTCAGTTTCTACAAAACGGTGGATGTTCCCTGTGGCTAAGGAGTAGGATCCCACCATATCCTGAAAGCACACTGAAGAGCAACAGACAATGCCTGTACCAGATCCAACATCTGCCCTGCAGAGCACAGGGGAGGGAATCCTCACTTCTTATCCCACTGGCCAGCATGACCTGGCTCGATGCTGCCATAGCACCCTGAGCACGCAAAACCATTGTTCCTCATTGCTTAAAATCCCTCTCTGTCCTGATCCAGCACTCCTGCCAACTTCATGATGGGCACAGATGGTTTCTGGTTCTCCATTGTGCCAGATTTTGCTCCTGGGTCTTTCTGCGGATATACTAAGAGTCTTTGCAGGGCTGAAAGTCACAGTAATGGTGGTCTCAGAAACCTCACTGAATCAGATAGGGATCATATTCCTGTTAGGCTAAATGGAAACAGGTTCAGCGGGATATCAGGGCTTTCAGAAGCACCTTGGACATCTGGATGATAACAGATCAGCCATAAACCTCTCAGGTCCCCATAAATCCAGATGATCTTGATGTAAATTCTGCCCCCATTCTAGACAGATTTTTTTTTTCCTTTTCAATTTCCAGTAGACAACACACATAATGGCCATGATGTAAAAACTCAGAGAAAGGTCTTGAATAGCTATGCAAAAAGATCATTTTTCTTTGGCAAAGTATTCTACCAGTGTGTAAAATATATCTGGGTTTTTTTGGCATTAGAAGCATTTTTATCTGAAGACGTAGGATTTGCATTTGCAAATTGAAGTAGACCACCATCAGGGCTGCTAACCTGCCTGAGGCCAGAATCTACCATACCTAGTGAAAGAAGATATAAGTGAAGTTTTTCATCAGGACATAGAACAATGGAGGGAAGCGTTATATCTATGACTAGACACTGATTTTCAGTGAACCGATTTTTCAAGTCACATTGAGTGCCCACAAACTCCTTTGAAATGACTTGCAGTTCTGCATGCCATTAAGGACTTCATGGGGAAAGGCCATTTCCTCTGCTACAGGCAGGATCCAACAATTATAAAAGCCTACTGATTATTCAGCCCTGAAAGAACTTAAAGATTAATGTGGACTCATGGTAATAACTTCAGACACTTAAGTTTGTGCGTAGTAGCCTTTGTCAGTCCTATAACGTCAGTCAGGAGCAACCTTGCTTTCCTCTGAATCACTGAGATTTATCACACAGGTTTTATAGCCCCTTCTTGGATCAAGCTCTGCGACTCATTTTTTTTCAAGCAATACCTCTGGAAAGTTGCAGTTGGGCAAAGGACTGTCACAGAATCCCTGCAAGGTGCCCAGGCTGTAGTTGGAAGTCAGGTTGCTGATAAGGCATATGTCTACCCGGTCAGGAGTGATGTTGTATTCTGCGGCCATGCAGCTGGCAAGATCCACAGTGCTGCACATGAACTGAACAAAAAGATGGTATTAAACTCAACAGCATAGACAAGGAGAAGAAAACAAAATAATTCGTATCAATTAAAAAGCCTCTTGGAAATGGTTGCAACAATGTGCAAAATATGCAAAATGAAATCACCGGCTTATGTTTTACAGCATGTGCAATGGCCATGATTTTTCTCCCCCAAAGTATTAATTAATAAAATCCAGGCTGTGCCCTCTAGAAAGCTAGTTTTGTGCTCAACTTCACGTACAACTTCATGTCTGAAAGTTCGCAGGCAGAAGCGCTGTAGATATTACACATACAAATATATCCTGCAGTCTGTGATAAGGTCCTGGTGTTGCTCTATTTCTGCTGACGGGAATTTCTGAGCTGATAACTTTCCCCTGCTATCTCTAAAGCTTCTGCTGTGGAACCTTCTACAGGGAAGACTTTAGCAGCAAGGCTCAAAGGCTGATGCGCTATGTTATGCTGAGGAGGCAGCAAAGGCCCATTCTGATCTCCTCCACGTGCAGCTCTGACTGTCCATTTTGCTAATTTTTACACTAAGCAGTTTATGAATGCAGAGAATCACACACCATGTAGAAAAACACAGCTCTAATTCCTGCATGGTGCTCAGCAGCCCACACCAGCTCTCTGCAGGTGCCTCTGGGGGAAGGCAGTGGGGTGTCGATGCCACTGAGCTGGCGCCTCCCATTCAAATGCCTCAACAGAGCATAAAACTGTTTCTAAATCTCCACTATGTGGGAAGATAAGGCAAGAGGAAGTAGTGGTCTGATTTTTAGGTGTTTCAGCCTCTCTGTGCCAGTGGAAGTCAGCGCTGCCTCAGCGAGGCCATAACTGAGAGGACCAGAGGGCCACGGGAAGTCTTGGTAGCTATCCCTGAGCTCAGGGCTTTAACCCCAGGCCCATCTCCTATTTCCCTCTCTCTTAGAAAATGAAATAGATGCATGCAAGGTAGAGAACATCCAAGTGGTCTCTTTAAAACACATTCAGCCTTCAAGCCATTTGTACAAGCGAGACACAGCAGCTGCAGGGTGCTGGAGAACAGCCTGTCCCTTGCCCAGCCCGAGATCAGCAGCGGCGTTGGGATACGAAGCTAAACCACCCCGGCCCCAAAAGTGCAAGTCAAGACAAAGTCTTCAGAGCCCCTGTTAGGCGGTTACTGCTCTCGGAGCAGGACGCAGCACCGTGCAGGAGGCCGGCACAAAGCCTACGCCACGCTTCAGTCCCACTCAATGTGGTGGGAGTTAAATGACGCATCGGCCTCGTGCTGGCCCTTCACGCAGGGGTACGCTTCCGGGTCGGCTCACGTAGTTGGAGCAGAAGCATTTAAAGAATTGCAAAGGAACATGGGCACGAATCGGTGCCAGGTATATAATGTGCTATAGGGATGGCAGCTGTCAGGCTCCATTTCTTTTCTGTGCCCGAAAAGCACACAGGAACTGATCACAGGCACTGGAAGCATTGGGCAGAATTTCACTAAACCCAGGGGTTTAAGGGTTAGGATGCTGCAGAGCACCATCAGAAAACCATGCTGAACCCAGTGGGTCAAAAGGAAATAACACACATACCATGTTGACAAAGGCAGATAGAAAAACCAGGATAATGGCAAAGACTCCAACTAAGGTACTATTGGTCCTGGACTGTACAATCTTCCTAGAAAGAGTCTGGAGAGGAGCTGGGAAAAGCTGCATGTGGAAAAAAAAAAAAAAGATTAAATAAACATGTAAGATAGTTGTTTGTTTTACAAATTACAACCTGCATTTGAGCTGCCCGCATCCTTCAGTGTGGCATCTGCGCAGATGCTGCACAGGGGTTAGAGAATGGTGATGGGGGATGGCAGCTCCAGGACAAGGGTGTGCAGGAACGTGACCGTCTTGTGGCAGCAGGCCCAGCTGGCTCACCAAATCGACTTAGTCCTTCCTAATGGGAATGATGGCTCCCGAGCCAAGATAGCATGGCTTGCAGGGCTGTGTTCATCCTGTCGTGAGAAGCAAACCACAAGCCATCTGTAACCAAAATAGCCAGGAGCTTGAGCCTGTAAGTTACTGGATCAAAAATTAAAAAAAAGCAGAAATGAGAAAACACATGCCATGTCCCTTTGATCACAAAGGCGTATCACAGGACTTCCTGGTGCCATTTCAGAAACAGACTGTTAGAAAGCCCAGGCTAGTCTCACGATCTGTCAGACCCTCGGTGAAAGGCACTGGAGAAATCAGCTGGCCCTGTCTGGTCTGCAGTAGTCAGCACCACAGATACATGGGGCTAAAACCAGCCGCTGGTGAGGGCGATCACAGAGGTCCCCTGGACAGGCTGTCCCAGTGACTCACTGCTATCAGAGCTACAAGCTTTCTTCTAACTGCTTTCTGACTGCAGGCCACCAGCGTGCCTTGCTTCAGGTGCTGCATCGTACCCTGGGTAGAAACAGTCCCTGTGTTGAAGGGGAGACTAACCGGGCGCCCTTTGCAGACGGGCCACCCCTCGGCGTCGCACGAAGCCTCCTCGCATTGCGTGAGCTACTAGAGGAGTCCAGAAGACAACGAAACCAACCCCTTCTCTTCATGTGCCACCACCGCCCCAGGGTAAGCTCAGGGCTGGAGCAGGAGACGGACGGCAGGAGACCCTCGCGCACTGACACCCTCCCGCCGGTGAGCGTCAGCCCCGCGGCGCCCTTCCCCTCCACGCCATCACACCGCGGCAGAGGGGCTCTGCTGAAGATGGTCAAAGCTTTTTCCAGAACCCGACTCTCCTTTCCCCACCAGCACGCTGCATGAAAAACGAATCCACTACAGGGTATTTTTAGAGACACAAAGAAGCCAGCAGCGCGGCGACACGGCACTGCAATTTAACTATGACTAATGTTTCTATTAAAAGTCTTGCTTTTCCCTTTTATCCTTCACTCTTACATCTTCAAAGATGCAACATTTTGTCAGTGCATAGCTTCCCACACAGCAGTCCTACAACGTAATTACGAAGCGTTTCAACGGCCAAAGCACTGATTAGCTGGTGAATTTTACAGGGGGAGAGAGAGGTTGTGGCAAGAGGTTTGAAAGAGCTGATTTCACCTGCCACCAGCACGCGCACAAAAATCCAGCTAACTCCAGGCGAGAGGAGAAGGCACAGCCCTGTGCGGGACGGGAGGAAAGGGGAAATCGGGGTTATGACTTACTTGCACTGAATGAGGATTCATTCAAATTCACCGAAAGCTTATGCAATCCTTCAGGCTCAGGCAGCCATTGTAAAACAAAGCAAAACACCTCTCAGAAATAAACCTTGCTGATACAGAAATCCTTGGCTCTGTTGACAAGCCATGAACCAGAACACCTCCTTGCTCTACCATGTCCAGCTGTTTCCTCTCGGACAGCAGCTAACAGAACTCTACCAGCGCAGGGATGTTGGAAATGCCATGGGGCTCTCCTCTGCTCTCACTTTTATAGGATTTGGAGGGAGGAAGAGGATTTGTTCTGCATTTAGACAATTTTCTCACTAGATTAGAGCAGGACAGGTTTTCCTGCCATCTCTTTGTTTAGGCCTCAAGGTCAAGCTCCACAAAGGTACACAGGGACCTAACCTCCTTCTGTAATCTCTGGGAAATCAGGCACCTAAATAAAACTTAGGAGTGCTTTGTTGTGGATTTTGGCTTAAGCCCCTGCTGCCAATGATCCCAAAAAAGCCTGAATTTGAACCAAGCCTGAAATATCAAGCAAAGCTATCAGTGGAAGACACTTAAATTCTAATGAAAACATGTTTTCTTTGTATTAATTTGGGTTCTCGTTACTTTTCAAACTAGGGAAAAATTTCGGTCAGTAAACAAGTACAGCTGGAGAAAGTCCTGAAGAGGAAACAAATGCCAAAAACCATAGGAGGTCATGATTGCAACAGAGAACACAACAGCACAGCCACACTGCACATCTGAGGAACCTCTGCCTTGCAAACAACCTTCATGGAGGCTCTATGAGTAATACTCTCCCCATTTCACAGGGGCAGATAGAGACCAGGAATACTTGCAGCTTGGAGGACTTCTGTGGTAGAAATGGAGGACCTGTCTCAGCTCTGACAATTCAGCTCCACTCTAGCAATGATCCCTCCATAAAAACATCCACAAGTCAGGGGTATGACAAAAAAGAAGAATAAGAAAAGAAGATGACTTCCTCTCCCATTCTCCAATAACAGAAAATAAAATA